AAACCTAAGCCACCAACTCCGTAAGAGAAATCGTTCCTCTATGAATTATTTATCCAAAAATTCCTGGTGGCGTCATATCGGGCTGTTTTAATAAAGAGTAAATGAAAATGGAACGTTTTAAATTATTTAAATCTGCAAGTTAGCTAATGAGTCTTCACTGGAGGCGGCTCGTTCTACAAAATTTGGTGAAATTCTTCAAATCACTTCAGAAGCTGCTTTCTATTTGGTGCCCAGAGTGTGCCCAGGAAGGGCACCCCCATCTTGTCAGGCTTTCCTTTGACAACACAGGGAGGGAAGACATGAAAACGGGCAGGGCTTGAACTAAACACCCCTCCAGCACCCTTCCCAGCACACCGTCTGTCTGGGCATTAACCACCCTGCACCAGCATCACCAGTAAGAGGGGCACACAAAGGTTATAACAACTAACATATTTGATTTTGCTAACTTTGCAGCCAAAAAAAACAGTGAGCCAAGTTATAAAAAGTAAGCCTGTATGTGGATACAGGGCCCAATTCCAAAACCAAAGAACTAGGCTTTCTGCAGAGTTGTGCCTTAGTTGCAGCTTAATCAAAGACAGATAAATCCTTGAAAGGCTCCTTTTGATGGGGCTCTTTTGCTCTTTTTGTGCCACAAGTGTGTTAGATTATACTCTGATTTTCATTCTGATCTGTGAAATCCTAACCCAAGGATATGATGTATTGCTTTCTTATCAGCCACGTTTTACTAAAACAGCTCAGGCCTTTCTATGAACATGATAAGTGCTATTTATAAATGGAGCAGAAAATTCAGACTTTCCTGTCTAATAAATAGCCTTCCTTATTCACGAGGCCACTTTGTGAAATTTCCTCTGCCAGCTTCTCAGGACGTTGCCACTTCAATCATGAGAACCACCATCCTGAATGCCAATCTGTACAAAACCCAGCTGTGTCCAGGATCCCCACCGCCTAACATTTAAGGAGTCTACTTCCAGATTCGCAAATAATAGTTACATTTCCAAGGTGCTAATTGACCCAGAAGACAGCACTGCATTAAACATTCAGCAGGTAAGCACACAGGCGCAGGGCTGGACAGGCCCTGGGTGATGATGTGTGTTCATATACCCCTTCCTTTGGAGACATGTACGTCACCATAGGACAGTTGAGATTTTCCTCGCCACAAGCCATCCTCCATAGACAGAACCAGGTCGTTACGACACGTCCTTCCAGGGGCCTGCAGTCTCTCTCGTTCTGTTTCCAAGAAGTGGAGCTGACGAGATGGACTCCACTGTCTCCGTTCTCACCCTTTCTCCTCCCTCCTTCACTGTCTGTTCACCTTTCCCTTTGTCCCCTTTTTCTTTGTGCCCTGCCAGTGAAAACAGCCCTTGATGTCTTCTCTTTCTTTCTCCCCAGACTTCACTTCATTCTCACTGTGTCATCATCTCCTTGGGGAAAACTCCCAAACACAAGAACTTCACATTTACGTGACAGCCCTTCAATTCCTTCAGTTCAGTGGAACCAAGATAGAACCCCTGGTCCTCTCCCACCAACTTCCTGGTTCAGGTCCTGGTTCCAACAGGCTCACCATGACCCACACTGTGTCTTGAGGATTTCTTTGACCCCTCTATTTCCTCAGCACTCCACCCACCTGCTCTGTTGCCAAGTCACAGGGATTCAGCTCCCTCCTTTCCACCACCATTGCCACTACCCTAATCCGGGCCCTTGTTTCTTCGCCCTGCACATACTAGACTTTTTCTAAGTGGGCTTCCACCTCCTATCTAACCCATCCTGAGTGATTCTATCATATTAACTTTTTGAGAGAGGATATATGTACTCCAGCACCAGAGGGCTTGGTTTCCTGTTCCAGCTCCACTACCTCTTATTTCTTTCTGTCACTTTGGGCAAGTCATCTAACCTCTCTGTCTCTTCCTTTCATCACGTGCACACTAAGGATGATCATCAGACCTGCCTCGTAGACTGTGGTGAAAGTAAAATGAACCAACAGTGTGAGCACCGGGACAGCCAGCATCTGGCATGCATTTAAATGTGTAATATCTATTAGTTGTTATTCACAGTTAGCACAGACCTGGGCATACCACAGCCTGCCCCAAAGCCCTCAAGAGAGTCCCAGGGCACTAGAACACTGGAACACTAGTCCCATTCTAGAACACTGGATTCCTGGCCCTGGCACTCAATCTGCCTTCAAATGACCTTCCGGTTTCAGACTCCACACTCCACTTGACCTGTGTACATGCCAGGCAAACTGCAGGACTTAACCAGTCCCTGAGCACCCTCCTTACCCTGGCTCTTCGCCCTCCTGGGGTCTCTCCTCTCACATCTCGGCCTGATGAGACTTTGTCTGGCCTCCAAGCCAACCTTAACTCCCCTGTGAACCCCTCACCCAGATGTGTGCCCACGCGCCCGTGAATCCTCTGAGCCCAGGGCTCCCTGCAGTCCCGCCATTCTCCCTCCAAGCTTGGAGCTCCTTGAATGTAACATGTGCATTCATCACCGTTGCAGTGACATTGCCCAGCGCTGTGTGATATGCTGGGGTAAGATGGAGTTGTGTGATCAGAAACCCAGCTACCTCTGTACCATGGGCAGGTCAAGTCCAAAGGAAAGGCTCTGCCAGACCACAGGCCTCATCCTCGTCTCCACTGACATCAAAACTCACACTGTCAACGGTGGTCTCCCAGCAAGTCTTTCTTTATAAGACATCAGAAATAAATATTAGAGGAATGTGATTTGTAGCCCTATCCTAAAATGCAACATGAAAATCACACCAAGAATGGTCCTCATTGAGCATTGTTCAGTTGGCTACATGGAATTTGCAGCTGGATCTACCATCTAGCAATCCCAAAAGAAGCAACTCAGACCTCGATGACTGGAGCCTGCTCAGATTCACAACCTCTGGTACATTAGTCACTGCAGAATTTAACACAATGGCACACATAGTCCCTACCCTCAGACTCCCAAGAGATCCCCAAACCCTGAGCTCACCAAAAGAAAGACACAACAATGCACATTCCCAACAATAGACTAGTGCTCAATAAACAAAGCAGGCAGTGACATCATCCAGGTACATGGGGTCAGGGAACAGGCCACCTAGTCCTGGCTCTGTCTAGGAGCAGAGCTGTAATCTGACACCGGGCATTCAGACCTTTGCTGCAGCAACTCTGAGCATTTCTGAGCAGCAGCAAAAGCTTTCCCTCCCAGGCTGACTTCGGCCACTCAGAAGCATCCTGCTCCCGGCACCTCCACCTCTGACAGAAATATCCTGAAGACATCAGTTTCAAGAATCCCTACAGTGAAGTGACAATTAAAGTTTGTTTTCCCTCAAATCAAAGATATGCTCTTGAAGGTCAAAGATACTCACTCTTGGGATGCCACATGGTACCCACAAATCCTTAGGCAGAACTGCCAACATCCCTTTCAACAGGACAAGTCCTAGGAAGCTAACTAGAGTGACTATGGTTCGTTTAATTATGTTCATCTAATTGCACATTTAGATGTGACGACAAGAAAGTAAAATTAAATTTTACATTAAAATATATTAGACAACTCTGAAACACCAGCTCTTTCTCTTTAATTTTTTAAAAATTGCTTTTAGAGAGAGAAGAAGGGAGAGGGAGAGAGAAACATTGATTTGTTGTTCCACTTATCTATATATTCATTGGTTCATTCTTGTATGTACCCTGACCAGGGATCGAACCCCAAAACCTTGGCATATTGGGATTATATTCTAACTAGGTCAGGGCTAAACCAGCTCTTTCAATAAAATGATATAGTCAAGTCAATTCAGCCTTCTTATTCCTTATTATCTATTGCTTTTATTGAATAGAGATTTATCTCTAAATTTTTACTACACTTATTATTAAGTATTAAGATACCTTCTTCCTGTAAACCAATGGTCCTTCACAGTTCCACACTCTTACACTCTCAAATCCAAATTCCAAAGAAGCAAAGTAACCGAAGAAGGTAAATCACACTCCCGTACCACTCCCTCAAAGGCAAGGAAAATAATACCATGAGGCTTGAAGCACCCAAGAAAAATAACTCCCTCAATCAATTTTTTTAAATCTTTTTTTAAGAAAAAATATGTTTTTATTGATTTTTAGAGAGAGAGGAAGGTAAAGAGAGAGAGAGAGAGAGATCGACTGGCTGCCTCCTGCAAGCTGCCTACTGGGGATCAAGCCAGAAACCCAGGCATGTGCCCTGACCTGAATCTAACAGGCAACCTCTTAGTGCATGGGACTAGCTCAACCAACTGAGCCACACCCACCAGGGCTAAAAAAAAAACAAGAACAAAAAACAAACAAACAAAAAACTTCTTACTCATAGAAAAAAACTTGAATTCAGCTCAATGTGTCCCACTTTCCAAAACAACAAGCTGCACCAATAAAAACATCCTGAGAGCCAACAGCAGCCTTGTGACCTGTGAGGATGAAGCACCTGGAACACACACACTGCCCTGGACTCTGGCGCATCCATGAACACTGAGGGCCTGACTCATGGGCCATTACAGAGTCCAGCAAGGACGGAATGCTAGGCGCCCTGGTCCTGCTCTGGGGGTGTTAGCAATCTGCAATTGCAGTCTGTCCTGGTAGTAAGAAGAACTAATACAGAGATCCCAAAGGACTGAGGTGTTGACAGGTTCGAGTCATGTTCACTTTCAGCCCTGGCCAGGTAGCACAGTTGGTTAGAGCATCCTGCAGATATGCCAAGGTTACAGGTTCAACCCCCAGTCAAGGTATATACAAGAATTAACCAATAAATACATAAATAAGTGGAGCAAATTGATATTTCTCTATGCTTTCCTCTCTCTCTAAAAAATCAATAAATTAAAAAAAGTTATGTTCCCTTTCCCTGCACCTCTCCCCAAGCACCTGAGCCTTAAAAAAAAAAACGTACTGTTACTTGCACCACAGGGGAAAGTGAATAAAATGGCCATAAAGGTGTGTAATGTTTCCTCACCAAAGAGCTAAACAAGCTAAATGGTTGGAAAAAAAAAAATAGAAACTTACTTTTCATAGACCAGCTCCTCATCGATGGAGAAATAGTGGATATTTACTGTGCTTTTTGGTCTATTCCTTAAAGTAGCAAAATATAACCGATCTGAAAGACAAGTTTAAAAGATGGGAGAAAACATGTGAGAAGTGGGGAAGCAGGAGGTGGGGGTGGTGACAATACACGGAAGATCAAAATAACAAATGCTACTCATTATTTAAAGACCATTAACACGTGGGATTCTTGCAGAAACCTGATCTGTCCCAAAAAGCGATGGAGACCCAAGAACACAGAGCACAGCGGTATGACAGGCACCAAGAGGATCGGAGTGAAGGACTCTGAGGGAGCAGAGCACCCTGTCCCCTCGGTTGAAGCCAGCGGGAGAGCATAGAAGCCGGGGTACCCGTAGAACTGGAGATGCAAGTTGGGTTCACAAATCTCCAGCAGCTGCGGAAGGGGAAGAGAGGCGAGCCTTCCCCTGCAGCTCTGGGGACTTCGAGAAGAGGAAGGGAGGAGAGACAGCGGGGTGTGATCGTGGGGATGGAGGGGGGCGGGGAACACCTGAACACCGAGGTCACCTAAAGTAAGATAAAGGCGACTTAGAGGATCCCCCGGAGCAGGGCCCCCGCCCCCAGGAGCTGCGAGTAGGAGCAGGACAGGAGCCGGTGCTGTCCCAAGACCGGCGGAGAGGCCATCCGAAGGAGCTGCAGAGGGAACGAGGGACGCAAAAAAGACGGAGAAGCCGGAAGCAGGGGGTCCTGGGGGAGAGGACAGTAGCGAGCCGGGCTGAGCGCGCGCGCAGCGGCAGGGGGCGCGGGGACCCGGGAGAAGCGGGGGTCAGCGGTTGGGACGAAGGGGCGACAAGTGAGGAGTTGGGGGCAGGGTGGGGGAGTCGGAGGAGGCGGGGCGGCTGCTCCTCACCTTTCATGAACTCGCAAGCCCCGATTAGTTCCCCTGACTCCGCTGCCATCTTAAGCGAGATACGCACGGGGGAGGGCTGGGTCGTGGCTAGCTGAGGACACCCGCCCCCAGGGGCTTCCCCCAAGCCCAGGAGCCGGGGAGCTTGCGGTCCCGAACACCGAGCCCGACCGGGAGAGGCGGCGCGGGCCGAGGGCTGAGGCGGCTGGGGGGTCAGCGCGCCGGGCGCCCCGGGGACATTCCGTGGGGAACCCGAGCCCGCTCCGCGCGGGACGCACACGCCCCGGGCTGTGGTCGCTCCGACTGGGACCCGGCTGCCGCCGCTGCTCCGCCGCCACCGAGCCTGGAAAACGCAGAGCCGCTCGCACGGCCGGGCAAAGTCTCTTCCCGGCTCCCAGAGTGATCATGGAGGAGCCGACGTCTGGCCCCGATCGCGCCCGTGGCTAGTAGTGCGGCAGCGGGCAGGACTCCGTTGCCCGGGGCTGGCAGCGGCCGCCCCGGCTCCTCCTGCGCCGCCTCCTTTCAGCAGCAACTCTTCCTCCTCCTCCTCCCCCGGGTCCGCCCCCAGACCTTCCTCCCCGCCCTCCCTCTGCCCCTCCACTTTCACGGCTCCGCGGCCATCCCTTAAAGGGACAGCAGGCTCCCGGCTCGACGCGGCCGGCGCCCGTCACCAGGCGCCTCGCAGGTCACCTGGAGCCGGTTGCTAAGGCTTTGTTGCGGTCCGCCAATTGCTGTGCAGGAAGCGGGGCCCTAGGCCCGCAGCAACGGGGTGCGGCCTCCAGACCTGAAACTTATGAATGAAACGGTGGCGCAGGCAGCCGGCGGCGGGGACGCGCGGCGCCCCTGGCTCTGCACCCACGCACCCACGTTCTTCTAAACTCTTGCACACAGAGAAAAGAGAGCGAGACCCCGGCTCTCCGTGCCCTGCCTCACCTCTGGCTCATCTGCCAACCATCCCCAGCCCCACCTCCCATGCATCCCCATCAGGATAAAAAACGAAAACAGAAGCGCTACCTCCTAGCTCAGAAGATCTCGTACTGGTTTCTTCTGCACATACTGGACCCTGGGAGAACGTGTGCTTTGTTCTCACGGGGGAAAACGTTCCCATCCGGGTCCCCACGTACTCAGATTTGGGCCACCACCGTGGGCGCAAAAAGCATCACAAATGCCCACCTTTATGTCGCCCTGGCCCCGCGGGGGGCGGGGCGAGGTCACCGCGGGAAGGGGACTGGACAGGGGGGCAGAAGAGGGCCGCCGGCCCTGGGGGAGACCAACAAAAGCATTTCGTCCCGTCGTCTGGGCAGAAGTGCGGGGGTCCCTTTCCAGAGACCCTGGGCTTGTTTCTGAACAACTCCAACGCCGGTGTCCCACGGACGTGCCAAATTAGAGGGCAGGCAGACTCTTGGATATGAAAATGGCGCTCCGGGCCCCTCGTCAGTAGCGCATGCGCTCTGCGTGGTTTCTCCAAAACGGGACCGGACTGGCACCCGCCTTGGGTTTCGCGGCGGCTCCTTCACCCCCTGGGAAAAGGGGGCGCGCGTGGCAAGAGCCGGCCCTGGGACCTGGAGAGAGCGCCGGGGCCAGCGGGTAAAGCTTGGCTCACTGGTCTTAGCCCCTTAGGCAGCTTTGCTGGCTTTACAAAATCTAAACCGGCACGGAAAATGATAGACGAATATTGCTTCGATATTCAGAAGAAATATGCAGAACAACTCCTAATCGAACATGCCCCCGTAAGATCGTAAGGAGGAAACCCTACGCTAACATCCAAGTCTGAAGCCGCAAGAATCACTAAAGAGCAGCACATCCTACCATGCCCCAGTCTTCACAGGAGGAAAAATTATCTCCAAAGAGTTGGTAAAAGTCCTGTAAAGAGGAGCTGTAATGACGGTTCCACTCTACGTGTTTACGGGCCACAGCTATGAGTTATAAAAATGAAAGTCTCTCTCAAGCACGTGGTCCACACTCACACAATTGGTAGCATTGTGCCTGATACTTAGTCCTCAAATCCTGGTGTCAACAATCATGTAGGCCAATTCAAATTATGTTACTGAAAAATTTTAATTGAGATTATATATGGAAAAGCCAGGTATCTGAATACCTCCATAAACTTACCCACTTTGTTTAAAAGGCTAAATTAACTCAGTGATGGAGATCTTTATCCAAATTTGCTGATTTAAAATTCGTGTAGAATCTAAATTCGCTTACCACATTTCTTAACAATTTTCCACCCCAGGTTTGTAATAGAAACATTGCATTAGAAAAAGAAGTTGGAGTTCTCATTCAATGCATAAACTTTATAAATTTTTCAAAGTAAATTGTCTAATGAAAAGAACTCTAAAAGCTACACTTTCAGAGAAGACAGACTTAATTGAACACCTTTTTGTTATTTTTTAAACTGAATTTACAGAAACATTTTCTGTCATATTTCCTGCTTAGAAATGTTGTTCATGAGGAGTAAAGTATGACTTGAATAAACAGAAGTCCTTAAAAGTAAGACCTCAAAATGAAAGAGTTTAGTTTTCCTTAGCACATTTACAATATGAAAATTATAATGAAAATTCTGAAGTTACATTATCCATTTCGAAGATTCTAATTTTTCATTTTTTGCATGAAAGGAAAATAAGTGAGTGTCAGTAAAATCAAAATTCTCAATCAACATTTGCAGAATCTAAATGGTATAGAAGAATCTACAAGAAAAATTAAGACAGTACACATACATGTCAAGGTTCCAATGAGATCACAAAACATTTTATTCTCTCAATTATCATGAAGTCAAAGTTCTTACTGGTTGTAGTTTCATAATAAAGTCATGATTTCACAGTCTATGGAGGATGATAATGGAAGAAACTTCTTTCCAATCACCCAACTTAGTACAAATGTTAGGAACTTACTTTTAAACAAACAAAAAAAAGGATGTTTTACACATAAAGGAAATACTGAGAGAATTAAGATGTCACTCAACTGCAGAAAAGGGAGGCATTGTTATACATAGGAATTTAATAATGGAGAAGTTTGAAAATAACAACATTTAGTCTAAGTCTGCAAATATCGTTTGGATCCTGCCTCTGACTCCCTGAGAGGCAGTCCCCAGCCTCTGCTTGGGACCTGCGGAACTGGTAAACTCGCTGCTAAGGCAACTCCAAAATGTCACCACCCTCGGGTTCTAACTCTACCCCTTGAGGCTATACTGAACACCCTTAGTCACTCTTGAACATAACAACCCTTCAAAAATGCAAAGGCAGCTGCCTCGGACCACTTCTTTGCCCATCTTTCCTAAGTTAAATCCCTTTCCCAGATTAAATCCCCCTTGTTTTTCAGCCTTTTCTTAAATGTCACGGCTTCAAGTCCCCTTGCTTCTCTTCTGGGATTTGCCTATATCCCTCAGAGTGTATCCCAGGACTGAATACAGCCAGTGGTGGCCTGGTATGATGGGCTCTGATACCAGAAGAAAGCACTGATGGAAGATTCAGATGGAAACAAAAGTAATAAAAAACATGAAAGGACTAATTTTATCGTTTAGCTGTAAGAAAAAAAGAAAATGTCTTGTTGTCAGAAAAGGGCAAGGAAAAATAGCCCAGGATAGTCAACGGGCTGACAGCTGTGATATTCACATATTGTATTTTTTTACATTATTATCATTTCTCAGAAAGTACCCTTAAAACATGCACTTTTAGTTCATGTCATCATGATGTTAGCCAAACAAGTAAAAGAAAATACTTTGAATTCTTTCCAAATTAACTTTCAGTTTAACTAGGAAACAAGAATGGCAGAATGTTGTACTGCTGAGTAATTTGAAATTCAAAGTCATTTGAATTGTGTAAATGTTTCAGAATTAATTCCATGCCTGACCCCAAGAATAATTTAAAGCAGTTTTGAGTAAAATATATATACAAAAAATTATTACAGTTACAAGAAGAATACCAAAAATATGTAGACAATGTGGCTCTCGTGATACAGCTGCCCACAGGTGCTAAGACCTGGGCCTAACCCAGCCATATTCTGCATCACACTAATCACCAATGTGTTTAAGAGTTCCAAACCAGCTCAGCCGGTGTGGCTCAGTGGATTGAGCTTCGTCCCATGGACTGAGTGGTCCTGGTTCAATTCCTGGTCGGCACATGTGAGGGTTGTGAGCTCAATCCCCAGTAGGGGTTGTGCAGGAGGCAGCCGATTGATGTATCTCTCTCACATCGGTGTTTCTCTCTCTTTCTCTAAAAAATCAATAAAAACATATTTAAAAAAAAAAAAGAAAGAAAGAAAAGAATTCCAAGTAGAATCAAAGACAGCAGAAGCCAGAAGGGCCTTTTCAAAGTTTTCAAAGTTTTCGGCTAGTTCCAGTTTTCAAACAGACTTCATGGAGCCAAAGGTAGCAGAGGCCTTACCTGACTAGGTTTTGCCTATTTAATATATTTCATTTGTAAAAGATTTTGTGGTAAAATAGAGGAAAGAAAAAAGAAGAAACTGAGGTCCACAGTGGGGAATTGCTTTTCCAAAGTCACACAGCTGATTGGTGATAGAAATAAGATTAGCATTCATGATTTGCTCTAATACCAACAATTTTTTCTCAATTTTCTCCTTATTTAGCTTATTTTACATGGTTTAGCTCATAGGTTCTTCAGTGTTTGAGATGATAAAGTATCAAGTATTGATATGTAAAGTTAATACATATCAATATGTATTAACTATTTTTTTCAAATTTTAGAGAAAATATTGAAATAATTTAAATTCAGAATGGAAAAAAAATAAAAGATGTTGCATCGTCTGCCACTGCTGTTACTATCATGTGGCTTCTATACGAATGTGAATTATTTGTCCACCTCTGTGATTAATAGCCTACCAGCACTCTACAGAACACAGTTTAAGAAATAATGGTTTAACCCTGGCCAGTTTGACTCAGCAGTTAAAGCGTTGGCGTGCGGATCAGAGAGGCCCAGGTTCGGTTCCCGCTAAGGGCATGTACCTTGGTTGCAGTTTGTCCCCGGCCCTGGTTGGTCGTGCGGGTAGCAACCACTCAATGTGTCCCTTTCACATCTATGTTTCTCTCTCTGTCTCTCTTCCTCTCTCTCCCTCCCACTCTATCTGAACAAAAAATGGAAAAATGTCTTCAGGTGAGGCTAAAAAAAAAAAGGAAAGAATGATTTAGTTAACATTAACTAAAACAATTAAATAATCATCTTATTCTTGACTGATGCAGCCAGTAAAGAATGATATAGTTTTAGCTCTGGCCAGGTAGCTCAGTTGGTTAGAGCATCATCTGATACGTCAAGCTTGTGGGTTCAATCCCTGCTTGGGGCATATACAAGAGTCAACCAATGAATGCATAAATAAGTGGAACAATAAATCAATGTTTCTTTTTCCCTCTTTCTAGAAAAAAAAGTCAGTCAGTAAATAAAAATTTAAAAACATTATACAAATCAATAAATTTTAAAAAATTAAATAAAATATCGGGAGATGAACATGTATGAATCACTGGATACGTAAATCAGTTCCTTTTTAGCCTG